GTGCAGTCCTCGTGTCAGTAGTATATGCCAGTAGTAGTAGTAGTAGTATAAGGTGGTGGTAGTGGTGATGGTAGCAGCAGTAGTAGTATATACCGTCAGTATTGGTTGCGGTGGTGGTGGTGAAAGGGGAGTGATGATGAGGTGGATGCTTCAGGTCGCTTGTCGGTGGGGCCGTCAGATGTGCGGTTCTGGCGTCGTCTTAAAGATGTGATTTTGTTAATCGAATGCAAGGAGACGGAGGATGAGGAGGAAAAAGATGAGGAATTGGCTAAATCTGAGTTCGAAGTTGAACAGGAGGGGGAGGAGGAGGACGACGACGAAGGAGAAGAGGAGCAGAAAAAGGGAAAGGGAAGGCGAAGTCGGAGGCGGAGGCAAGGATGAGGACTAAAAAGGAGGAAGGAGGAGGAGGAGGCGACTGAACATAAGGTCGAGTTTGATAAGGAGGGATCGGAGGAGGAGAAAGGAGGAGAGAAGGAGTGAAGAGACCAAGAAGGCGATGGCGGAGGAGGTGGAGAAGAAGACACTTTGCTGTAATGGAGGCTGATGTTTTGTGGAGGAGATGCCAGAAATTATCTGTACAGTGGATAAAGACGAACGAAAGATCCACCGCCTTTGTTGTGGCCCAGGGGTTTCGGACTGCTTGTGCTGCCATAAGGCCACCATTTGGAATCTATTCACGGACCGACCTCCTCCCGAGGCCACATTTTCTTTCCAACATTTCACTATTCGCCTTCCCTATCATTTCTTTAAAATGGAAGTCGAAAACACTTTCTCTTGAGAGATTTTCCAAAAATTTGGTTATTTTGGATTCAAAGGAATGAACTAACGCCGCAAACCTCAATTTCCACTTCATTTAATTTTAAATGAGGCAGGTTACGTTTTACACTTGACTGCAACGTCTTTTTTTAACAACAACCTCCGTAAACAGACTTCGCACTGTCGGCAAGTGTTTGATGGATTAGAGGTTAAAAAAAATGATTTTTCATGACGGACCTTTGTAGACTAGTCACTCTGCATCAGAACGACGCCATGGACAGCGCCACTCTGGTAAGATTTTAAGGCACCTTTTTCCAAATTAACAAAAGTACGATTCCGGAATTCATGAAACGCATCATTTTCGGTCCTCCCTTTATGAAAGAGTCTTTGATGAATAATAGGACGCCTCATCAAAAGGAAGGAGTGGAGGTCCATCGACCGCGCATTTCATTGTTTCGAACAAGGCTGAGTATTTGGCAGTGATAACTTTGCCCGGCATCTCCTCCACAGTCACAATGTTTCAGTGGTCACAACTCCCCAATGAAACTGACGTTCGAAACTTGCTACACCTTCACCACCAATCCCGGATTGTTCTGCATCATCCCTTCCACTTGGAGGCATTATTTTTAAATAAAAAACGTAGTAAAATTGGTTAAACGTAGCACCGTTCACTCCACATTGGCTAAAGGCCCTTTGAAGTGCCAAAATCAGTCGGAAGCATCAGCTAAAGAGGAGCCACGCGTGTTTTGCAGGCTCCTCAACAGAGTCTTAACTGCTATCAGTGATCTTGGAGTGGACGAACAAAAGACCATCACATGGTAGCAACATTTCGTTGTCTTGGCAACCACACCCATACACACGACTACAATTGTCTGTGTTAGCAGTCGGACTAGAGGTAACAAAATTGATGAGAGGGATTGTTAGAGGTTACGAGGAGAGACTGTGCTACGTCAACAACTTTTTTTATTGCGGTGATACGTATTGCTTCAGGGTGGCAACAAAGACATACTTTTTAATTAAGACTGTGTGGTGTTACCGTGTGACACGCCTACTCTCCCACCCAAAATTGGTGTTTTAGAGACTTCCGGTGTGATTTTACTCATTTGTTATTATTTTATTGGCTGTAAATGATTTCTAAAACTATATTGCTTAAAATATCAGCCCAATTAAGCAATTCTGAGTTATTTCAGTAGCTAAGTGAAGCAATTCAGTAGTATATGTGATTATAATTTCTAAAATTAACAAAATCACAGGCAGTATCTCATAACGGACCTTGATTGGAAAAACTGCTCCAAAACGAGGTCGGCGATTTAAAGATTAGATTTAAACCGAAAAACGTAGCACATGTTCCCATGCCCAAAGAGGTGGGAGGATGAACCAAGTCCAGTGAGGTTCAAATAATTATTTATATTTACACAAACCGATGCTAGGAAGTAAGGCGGCACCTGCAGCAATCGTCAACATAGACTACCAACACCGAACAAACTCAAGCAATAAACAGACAAGACTGGGTGGATGGTCTGCACTCAAAGTCGACGGCCTTGTCATCCACAAGTGACTTTATGCCAAACTTGTAGAGCGCCGTGCCTCACTTCAACACAAACCGCTATACGAGACAACTTTATGTAGGCTTTTGATGTACAGCTTTAAATACTATCGGTTAATGGTTATACATCCACCCCGTCTACAAAGTTGTCAGACGTGGTCATCCCCTTACGATTGGTTCTTACTGACAGTGTGCAAATAGCCACAGAACATCTCGTGGTGAATTCGTTGTCGAAGAAGGGGACGTTGAAGGGTACGGCTTAGATGCAGGCTTGAAGCTCATCAATTCTCACTCCTTGCCCTATTTATAGCCAAAGTGCACCAAAATGTGAGAGTGGACGACGCTGTAGTAAAGATATCGAATGATATTTTAAGACCTCACAAAATGCCAAGGGTAATATTCAGACGGAAGCGGAGGTGTTTGAGAAGGTGCCAGCGAAAGCGAGGAAAAAATTTTGCACTATAAATTTTGTATTATTCACCCGTCTCCTCCTCCTCCTCATTCGCCACCCTGTTAAGAATTACGATTTTATGTTCCATTCAAAGTTCGGACAATAGAACGTCCCCCCTTACTCCATTTCCATCCCCTCCCTTAAAAGGCAAGCAAAACTGTCGCTGTAGTACACACTTAGAGAGCATTCGAGAGTAGAGGCGGTGACCACCCTCAAAGCAGCAGAAAACCTGGATTTAATAGATGAAAGTCTTTACATAGCGTGACAGAAGAGAGCGTATTAGATGTGGGCGGTCGTGTGTACGGTGAGTCACGGAGGATGGGGAAATAAAATAAGGTCGCCAGGCAAGAATGTCAATCTTGCGATTTACAATGGGAAGAGGAATGTTTAGAGGAAAACAAGGGATAAAAAAACGCTTGA